TTGGACGGAGAGGGAATCAAGATTCACCGGATGAAGAGCTCAAAGTGGGTGATCTCCATTCCCCACGAGCACCCTCGCCCAACCCACCCGCGAGTGTGACGACTACCAATACGACCGAGGAGAACGTGCCTCATACTGCCCGTACGATCCAAGAAGAAGACGAGGATGATAGTGACCCTGAGGATAGCGAGCGTCCTTGGAACTGCTACCTGCATATTCGGAACGTGCCCTCTAATCGGAGCCGTACGTGGAGTCGTCGTGGTTCACGTGATGAGCTCGTGCGAGTTGGTAGCACTGGGGAAGATGCAGAGAGGAGGCAGCAAGAGGAGGAGAGTATAGATATCAAGCAGCGGATTGCGTGTCTCGCGCCGGCCCCGCACCATCCCAAAGTCGTCGCCCAATTCAAAGTGCCTTACCCGTTACCAGAGGTTGTCGTCGACCCGAAAAATGCGCCGGGGGGTGCGTACCTCAGGATGCGCGAGGCGAACGAGTCGCGAGTTGATTTGGGCGAGAATGGGAAGGATGGGAATGGGGCGATGGTGGTTACCGCCGAGGAACTCAAGGATATCATTTGCTGCACTGGGTTGTGGTTGGTTGTTCGTGAGGGGTATGGTGGTCTCACTAAAAAGCGAAAGGGGGATGGGTGGAGACTTCGAGGATAAACACGCCCTTCCTCTCTCTCCTCCTTCCTCTTTCCTTGGTTTTCTTTCGTTCACCTTGGTCTTTTTTTTACATGCTATATTCCCTCTTCTTTTTTTCATTGTTCCATTATTTATCGCCAATACGTTTGGCGGATGCTCTCGCGATTTTTCGTGTCGTGCATTGGTATATCCCTCTCCCCTTGCTCCCTTCATCATTGTACTACCAGCACTCCCTTTCTTGGATCTTCATATCTCTCCTGTAATACCTGGCATTAATTAGAACATGATTCAAATTCTCTACCGGAAGGGAGGGTCTTCCATGGCCCAAATTGCCAGGAGTAAGCAAAAATTCGTAATGTGATTGGCTCTCGCAAGTGTTACCTTCCAATTAGCTTTATGCCCTCTTGCTTTATGTCCTCATTCCCGACCAATAAGGGACTTTTTTGTGATTCGGTTGGCTCTTGCCATGTCAGCTGCCGCCAGCTGGCCTCGTTAGCTCCGAATAGGAGACCACCTAGCGGTTACTTTATTCTAAGGCCAAGCATCGTTCCGTGAGTTATGTAATCCAAATAATGTCAATTCGAATCACTCAATTGCTAGATTACCTCGACTAAGAGATTTGAGGGGGACACGAGTGCGGTCCCCCTCAAATTGTGCTACCAAGTTTTTATTTTGCTTCAAGAAATATCGGTCGGGATTCTCGGACTGAGGGCCGTAATTTTAATGCCCTCTGAGCGGACTTGCTTTGGATAGAACAGCACATAGCCCCTACGAAAAGCTTCTCGATCAAGTCTTTTGGGCGTGCCTATATACGTAAAATTATGCATAGATATCTTTCAATAAGGATAGTGTCGAGAGGCCGGCTTGCACAACACGGGGTACAGGTGGAAAACTAAACTTGGCAGCCCACCATGTCCCAGGGGCAGTCATCAAATAAGAAGCGCAACGCTTCAGTCGCTGGTATGGGACACTCCGATAAGGAATCCAAAAAAACAAAACTTGAAATTGAGGTCGAGCCCAGGCTATTCAAGCTTCAGCAAGATGCCAAGGAATTCTCTGAGCAACTTGGACGTTTGGGAAACTTTGCTCCTGAAGACTTCGTCAACAAACTGGCTGGCTTATGCGACTATCTCAACAAACTGACTGCTGAAACGGTTAGAAAGTATACCTCAGGTCCTGTACTCGCAGGACATTTTCTCCTGCTAGATTCAGAGGAAGCAAACTTGATCAAACCACTCCCCCCCATGGATTCACAGCAGCTCGAGTTCACGAAACGGGGTCGCGAGGTAATGGTCAACCATGTAAAAATAATTAGGAATCATCTGTTAGGTCAGTTCTAGTAGCAAACCGGTCGTGTTGTGTTATACGCTGACTCTTAACCTAAAGCACTTGCTGACCAAATTCGAGCCAAACCAGCACCAAACAAATTTGCAGACAGCAAGGAATGGCGTAACTTCCAGTGGAGACATGACGCTATTCTTTGCCGACGCCCAGCAGACAAAAGGGGATTGCCCATCCCTCTTATGCACACCGCCTTCTGCAAATTTGTCCACCGCTTTTATGAGCCACTCGAGGATGATCACACTTCCAAATACTTATCAATAGCTGACAAGCTCTGTCAAGCTATGCCATCAGCCTTTGATACCGAGTCTCATAGACAAAGGATTTTTGAAGAGATATTTTACCCACTTGACAAAGGGTTGACGCCACGTCCGGATTTCACCCTTGAAGCAAGACCTTCCACAGTCCTGGAGTCTGCTGGCCAAGTTGATATGGCCAAGACTACTGTGTATAAAGGGGGCGAATTGGTCCTCATGTTGGAAGAGTTTAAGCTGGAATGTACAGGGGACGCCTATATGCAAAATTGTCGTTCATACGAAGTTCTATGTGGGGAAGCAAAGAACCAACAACTTGTGAACTTTGGCTATCCAATATTCCTGCTATGCGTCCTTGGTATGCACTCAATTATTAATCCCAAATGGTATTTCTGAATCTGACTGACAGGTCCGTACCTTATGGTCTGCGGCGCAGTCAAACATGAGAATGCCCATGTGGAGCCTCTTACTCCTTTCCTTCCTATGTTCCCAGGATTTGGTATCAAAGGCTGTCCATCTCAAATCGCATATTGCCTTCGAGCACTGAAAGAAGGGTTAGACGCGCTTCGAGAATTCTGGTAAATTACTTGGTCTGAATGCTAGTCCATACTAACGCAATGCACCAAGGCAAGTAGCAGGGATTATTGAGGACGCAACCAAGAAAGGGACCACTGAGAAACTGCCAGAGCCATATTTAATCCCAGGATGTCCTGACAATCGTCTACTTTACTTTGATGATTGGCAAGGAACATTTGTGTCCCCAGTGCGTAATGAAAACAATTCAGACAAGCCTTCAAATTTCTTGGCCCAGCTTCACAAGACCGAGGAGGAGTATCAGCATGAAGTAGCTGTCAAGTTTGTCTATAATTACACTGGGACGTATGGGGAGGCCGTCCATCAGTACCTCTCCGATCTCGATCTAGCACCTCGTCTTTATTGTGCAAAGGAACTGCATGTTGGGCTGTTTATGGTGGTTATGGAGCATCTCTCATTCGAGAAAGGTACTGGAGGCTGGGTGGAATTGGACACGTTTAGAGGGAAACTAGGCGATATGGCAGATGCCGTCCGAAAGAAGCTTGAAGGGATCATCGGCGTTCTTCAAGACCAGAAGATGGTGCACGCTGATCTGCGTCCCACAAATATCATGATGAAAGTGGATGGGAATTATCATATAATGATGCACAAGGATGAACCCATTCTCCGTGTGATCGACTTTGACTGGGCTGGAAAGGCGAATGAGGCCCGTTATCCACCCTTCCTCAATCCAAAGGTCCTATGGCCA